GGTGGCGAAAGAAGCTCACGGGAGGCCCCCCCCTTCAAAGGGACTAGTGTACCGCCAGGGGAGGCCGCCGCCCTGGACAAGGGAGGAGGAGGAGGAGGAGGAGAAGGAGGAGGAGGAGGAGGAGGAGGAGGAGGGCGAGGAGGAGGAGGAGGAGGAGGCGTAGGAGGAGGGCGAGGAGGAGGAGGAGGCGAAGGAGGAGGGCGTGGAGGAGGAGGAGGAGGAGGAGGAGGAGGAGGAGGAGGAGGAGGAGGGGGAGGAGGAGGGGGAGGAGGAGGGGGAGGAAGCCTCCAGGAGGCCCAAAAAGTGGCCGTCGTTGTCTCGACGGAGCCTCCCCCGATCACCCTCCCGTCCTCTCTTCACCAACTGCCAACGAATTAACATCCACACCTGTACTCCTCGTGGCCCAAAGGGGGGTCCAGCTGAAAGGGGGTGGTGCAATAGATTTGGGGCAGTCGTATTGCAAACGTATTGCGCAGATGATTGTAGCGCATTGTATTGCAGCGAAAGTGTTGCACACGAAAATCCAGCAATACGCTTGCGCACCGGAATGGATTGCACACCCTAAATCTATTGCAACCCACAACTCTATTGCGCTAAATATATTGCACCACGTCCTTTTGGCTGGCCTCCCTTTTTGGTCAACCAGGTAGACGTCCCTCAGAATTCCTGGATTGGAACTCTGGGTGGGGCTGCATGTATGTGTGTGTGTGTTGTCAAATGGGGGTCCCCGCTCGAACGGAAGCCCCCCTCGGGGTCCGATAACTCGCACCCAGATCTATAGCCTCTATGATCCATTCCTCCTCTCTATAGCTCTTACTGTGGGTTGTTCGATGGTCATCTCTCCCTCCCCGGGGTGGGAGAGTTGGGGGTCCCCAAACGGGTCCCTGACAGACCGTGCGGTGACCACGAAACCCAAAAGACCTCACCACACGGCCCGTCACCGCGCTGCTTCATGGGACCCTCGAGGCCCCACCTGCGCCCGAGACGCCCTCGGAGAACGACCCCAAGTCCCAGAACCGTGCGTTCACCCCGGGCCCCCACCGATCAGCATCGTTTCACTGACCCCATCCCTCCTCCTCCTCCTCCTCCTCCTCCTCCTCCTCCTCCTCCTCCTCCTCCTCCTGGCAGGAGGATGTCGGGGCCGGGATCGGGGCTCCCTCCAGACCCCATCCCTATCCAGACCCCGACCATCTCAGCACCCCATGGGGACAGGGGTCCGTTCAACGATGCTCAACTGGCTCACCACACGGTGTGGCCACCTCACCGTCTTGGGGACCGCCAGGATCAGCCCCGTGGCGCAGCCCCCGCGCCAGGTGGCGCCCGAGGGGCGAGCAGTCCGCCTTCGGCTGGAGCTGGCCGGGCACGCTAGGAAGCGCGCGGCGACCCCGAGGCCTTCCCACCGCGGGCCTAGGCTTCTTCCTCCAATGCAGTCACGGGGGATAGTTTGGGGATCGCTCCTTCGCCGCCCCCCACCCTCCCCCCCTTCCCCCCCCCTCCCTCCTCCCTCCTCCTCCTCCTCCTCCTCCCTGATCTGCCCCCCCATCCTCTGTCCCCCTCCTCCTCCCTCTTCCTCCCTTCTCCTCGCTCGTCTCTCCTCTTCCCCCTCCCCTCCCTCCTCCTCCTCCTCCTCCTCCTCCCTCCTCCCTCCTCCTCCTCCTCCTCCTCCTCCTCCTCCTCCCCCTCCTCCTCCTCCTCCTCCTTCTCCTCCTCCTCCTCCTCCTCCCACCTCCTCTTTCTACCGCGTGGGCCCCCCGACCTCTCAGGAGCGCTGCAGAATGTCCTGGATCGGTTGGTCCCCTCATCCTACTCGCCCGCTGAGCGCGGGCAGTGTCGGGTCGAGCCTCGATGCCGTACCCTCGCCCCCGCCGACGCCGCCTGGTGGGGCGAATGGTAGAGTAGCACTTGGGCGGCGTAGTGTACACGTTCGACGACGTCTCCCTCTTCATCTTCTCTTCCTCACCGTCCGCGAAACGATGATGACGGGCCCGGCGGAGGAAAGAAGGACGCGGAGGCGGGGACATCGAGTGAGGATTGATCCTTAAGCCAGGGCGATGTGGCTAGCAGCAGTGGGTGTTCAAAGAACGACGCACTGGCCCAATCCATCCGTACCTGAAGAGAACGAGTTGCCCGAACATACATTAGCGATCGCTTGTAAGGTCCACGTTGGTTTCATTACTTTTCCGACTAACCTGTTCCACCTCTACAGGGGGGGAGGGTGACGAGGAGTGGGGGGACGAGGCCTCTCAGGAAGGACGAGGAGGGGGGGGACGAGGAGGAGGATGACGAGGGTGGTGGACGAGGAGGGGGGGGGGACGAGGAGGAGGAGGAGGAAGAGGACGAGGAGGAGGAAGAGGAAGAGGAGGAGGAGGAGGAGGAGGAGAAGGAGGAGAAGGAGGAGGAGGAGCAGGAGGGAAGGATGAAGATGAACAAGATGGGAGATAGGGCCACAGGGCGGAGACGAGGAGGGAAGGAGGACGATGACGAGGAGGGGGTGGGGGTTGGGGTCTGGGGCTGTTAGCGCGGGAATTGCCAGTGGAGCTGGCAGCACCAAGAGGGCTGGCCGCCCTGAGCCGGAACGGTCCAACTGCTCCGGCGGTTGAGGATCTCATTCCCGTCTTCCTGTTTGTTGTTGTATCTTTGTGTCAATACAGTCAGACCGAGATATAAGATCGAGGTTGGTTCGGGGAGGGTATCCTTGTGCTCTTCGTGTTTGTTGGATGCTCTTGGGCATCCTGGGGAGGGTACCCTTGGATGTTCTGCTTGTTTTGGCCGACGGAGGGTCTCATGTTCTTGAAGGGGTGTTCTTCTGTCCTAGATTCGATTGTAGTGATCAGCTGAGCTGTCTTCTGGCCTAAATCCGACTGTAATTCCCAACCATCCTGTGGTGCTGGGTCCTCGTTTTGAAGAGAGCACCCCGCGTCTCACCTCCTCCCGCTGCCCCCTCCCTCCTCCCCCTCCTCCCTCCTCCCATTCCTGCTTCTGCTCGCCGCATGTCCACCATGTCGGCACACCCCTTACGAGGATCGTGGCCCCATAGGGAGCCAACGAAGACCCCAGCGGCAAGGTTTGCATGCGTCCCCCCGCCCAGTTCGGCGCACCCCTCACGAGGATCGTGGCCCCATAGGGAGCTCCACCGAAGGCCCCAGCGGCAGGGTTTGCATGCGTCTCCCCGCACATTTCGGCACACGCCTGACGAGGATCGTGGCCGCATAGGGAGCTCCACCGAAGGCCCCAGTGGCAGGGTTCGCATGCGTCCTCCCGCCCATGTCTGCACACCCATCACACGCCTCGTGGTCCCTGAGGGAGCTCCACCCACGGCCCCCGTGGCAGGGTTCGCACGCGTCCCCCCCGTACATTTCGGCACACCCCTCACACACTGCGTGGCCCCATAGGGAGCTCCGCCGAAGGCCCCAGTGGCAGGGTTCGTATGCGTCCCCCCACCCAGTTCGGCACACTCGTCACACGCTTCGTGGCCCCATAGGGAGCTTCACCGCACCCAATTCGGCACCCCTCACACGTTTCGTGGCCCCATAAGGAGGTCCACCGAAAGCGGTACCCACAATGCGGTATTCCCATTTGCATATGGTTGGGTCTTTCGTCAGGTTAATGTTGCCAGCCTTGGCTCACCATGAGTGCGTCGCCAGCAGGCACAACGCGCGCTGGAGTAGAACAAAGAGCAGAAGCATGATGCGAACCGCCCGTCGTGAGCACTAAAAGAAAACGGAACGAAGGAGAGCCGGAGTGAACATTTTTGTTCCGCCGCGCATTCCGGGCATCCCGAACTCGCCGTGTCTTCCACAAGCCGCGTGTGGATGCCATTGCGAGGCACCTTCCAAGAGTTGAGGAAGGAGGCACGGCACGGGCGCGCGCGCGGCGCTCCGCCCGCCCGCGCGCAGGGCCCAAGAGCCACCGACGCGCCTCGAGAGACCTCCGAGACGCCACCAGGAGGAAGAGGAGGAGAAGGAGGAGGAGGAGCAGAACAACTGCCGATGATCGGAATCTTCGAAAGGCCGCGCGGACTTCGGTGATCGGCGCCTGGTCCCCCCCCCTGGCGCGCGGACTGCGGCAGGGGCGGCGGCGGGGGCGCCGCCGCCCGAGGGCCAAGCGCCGGCCCAAGAAATCCCTGACTGGGGAAATCCAAAAAAACAAAACAAAACAAAAAACAAAAAATAACACGTTGTCTTGGAATCCTTCGTTTTTTTTTGCAATCCTGATTTCACACGGAGCGCGACAATCACTCAACGAGGCGTGTGGAAGCCGACCTTTGTTCCTCCTTACAGGTGCCCCAACTGACGCCTTCGACGTGGAGCATCGCGAGCAGCTCATTGGCCCGCTTCCCAGGAAGCCCGAGCTCACGGCGTCCTCCTCGACGATGTCTGCATGCGAATGCGAACGACATTTCAGTGGGCGCCCGATCTCAAGCAGTGGCGAGCTGTCGTGGCTGACCACTATACTCCAGGCCCACCAAAAACTTGCCTAGCAACTTGGTGTTTGAGCTTTGCGCGAACTGTTCTCAGAACACGTCTGGCTGGGGCCGTCCTGTTGGAGCACATCGGCTCCGTGTTCTAAGGGCGTCGCCTTGATTATCAGAGCAGTGTGATTGTTATAGGAAGTGATCCTTCTCACATGTTTTGACTTGCCGATCGGCGCGGGCCTTCGCCCCTCCCCTCCCCCCCACACCGAGTAGATCTTGGCTGTTTGTTGCGGCTGTTTCGAGCAGGTGGAGTCTCCCCCCATAGGACGCACTGCTGCAAACAGTCGCACTCCGCAGAGGTCCAGAGCCAGACCCCCCCCCTTCCGGCCAATGTCGACATGCTGAATAGAAAGCGTTGACGCACATGTCGTGGTGGGCCTGTGAGCACCCCTTGGCGGTCGTCCGTTGCTCGGTGGTGGCTGCCACAGCAGTGCCGCACTCGGACCCGCCAGCGCCAGCATCGGAGGGCGGGCCGCACCCCGTGCTTCGGCGCCTCTGCCTCATGCCCCCGTGCCGCCCCCGCGAGGGCCTCGAGTGGCAGCGGTCGCTTCTCCTGCTAGGCGCGGCCCGCGGTGAGCTTCTTGTCGGAAGGGACGGGAGAGAAGGATGTATAGCCAATCCGCATAGTAAGGATGGGCGACTTTCCCAAGGGTACCCCATTGCGTCCTTGCCTCCTCGGCCCATCCTTGGCCGCTTTCGCTGGCCGCGCCCCGCTACAGAAGTCTCGGAATGGGCGCCCAGGGCCCTTGCATCCTTATCGCGCGCCCTTACTATACGGGTTGACTGTATACCACTACTTACCAAACAGCCCTCACCCGACCCGAAGGTCCCCGAGCTTTCAACTTTCGGGCTGGGGGGGGGCGCACGAGTGTTCTGTGCAGTCTCGCTGTTGCAGCATGCGCCCGCCATAAGAAATTGGCAGGCCCAGCGGCGATTTCGGATTGGGTTGGGGTGGCTTGGTAGGTAGTCGGATGTTGTACTGCATATGTATAATTGTTTTTCCTCTCTCTCTATGTATATGTATATGTATATGTATATGTATGTGTATATATATGTATAGATGAGACGTTCCAGAGTGGAGGATCGGGGAAGCTGGCAGCTTTTCCTCGGTGGAAGGCCGCCGGAAGCCAGGGGACGTAACAAGGTAAAACCATGCCCCACAAGAGACGGCAAGTTTGCGGGTTCAGGGATTTCTCAGAACAGGAAAAAACAAATAAACACAACGGGTTTTATTGGTTGTACGCCGGAAGGGGGCGTCGTTGAGAGGAGGCCTGACACGGATGCGGGGATCGGGGTGGCGTCGGTGTTTGGAGCTGGCGGTTTGCGCGGCAAGTGCGTTTAGCTGGTTGCATGTGTTCGGAACGCGTGACGGGTGGAAAGGCCGCTCGCCAGCAACTGGCAGTCCTCAGCCCGCGGGCCAGAACAAATCGTCGCGCGCTCGCAACGGGGTGTGGGAAAAGGGTCTCGTGCCCAAGGGCACGGTGGGGGATGTCGATGAATGCATGATGAGATCGTATGTCCAGCGAACCTGATATTCCGAGTGCGCAGAATCCATCTCCAGTAGTGGGCTGCGGGGTCTCTTCGGATGAGTGTTTGTCCAGCCGCAAGATGCCGTAGTGGAAGGGTCTTGGGGCCGTCTTGGGCAGATGCCATTTTGGGTTGCAATGTGGGGCCAGTCTCTGATTGTCATTGGCCGATCCTGGGGCCTGAGTGGCGCCATTCTGGGCGCAGGGCTTGACCACGAAGGACGGTTGAGCGGACGCTGTCAGCAAACAACACGTTCTCAATTGTTTTCGCCTCCTACAGGTCCTCCTCGTCGTGGGGACATGCTGGAACCCTCGTGCGGGGTCGCGTCGAGCCATGGAAGCTGGGCTCGAATTCATTTATGCCGGATTGTGATGATGTCTTCGAGTCGCCTTGGTTCGGGCATGACCCCTCTGTGGGCTGCCTCGTACGCAGCTGGCTATGGTTGTCGTCGGCAGGCTTTCTTTGGGCCCTGCGGGGCAGGCTTTTCGGAGCCTTGGGGGCCCTTATTATTTTTCTGTTCATCTGCCGCACGGCCAACCGAACGAACGAGCAACCGTCTCGGCGCGCAGTGTTAGCTTCGTTTGCGCGCATCCTGGTTTCCTTCCGTTGTTTCCTTCGCTTCTTTCTCGCCCTCCGCTTTTTTTTCCTCTTCCCCTGCTTTGCCTTGTCCCGCCCCCCCTTTTTTTCCAGCTTGGAGCTGTCACCGCGCGCGCAAAGAGCAAGCCAAAGGGCGTTGTTATAATTCCTTTGTGTGCCACGAAGTCTCGTGTAATTCCTTGGTGCACGGTCTGGTTACTTTGCCAACGCGGGGTGCACACAAAGGAATTTCATGTGTGTACGATCGTTTTCGCCGCCCCCACAAGAGCACGCGCGATTTCTTGTTGTAGAGCTTGCTTTCCCGCCTCGAGCGCGCGGGGCCTGGCGCTACAATCGTAGGGCCGCGGCGCCTGGCAGCGCGATGCAGCTGCGCCGGATACCACGCCCAAAACGATCCTACGTGGATTTCGGTTCTTCTGCTGAAGTCGCGCTGGCAGTTTGCCAGCCACATCGCCGGCCGTGCATGCCCGCGCGCGCTATTGCGTTCTGCTGCCGCGACGCGTGCTGCTGTCAACGGATGAACAAACTGACGCTGCTGGGTGGTTTGGCTGGCTGTGCCAAACCACCATGAAATGTTTGTCGGTAGCGGATATTGGGATCTCGTCTCCGCCGGCTGCCTTGCCACGCCGTACATGTCAACTGCATCCTAGAGCACGGCCGTGCATCAACCCTGGTTCGGACCGTTTGGGTTCCAGTGGCATGTGTGCACATGCGTTGCACCGTTGGTGGTGCCAAAACCTTTTGTGTGAACTTCCTTTGTGTGTTTTTTTTCTGGTTTCTAATTTTTTGACCCCACCACACATTTACATGGACGTGCTCGCACACGAAAATGAACCTTACAAGCCAGAAATTTCGGCCGTTCTGATGGTGTGAAGGATGGTGTTCGCTCTCCAACAGCTGTCCCTAGCAACCGTTTGGCTCAAACTCGCTCGGTTTCTAACTTGCCACGCAGGCGTTGGATGGTAGACGCCCTCCTGGTGGCCGGCGCTTGGGCGGCGGAGCGTCTCCTGGTCGGGCCCGCGCTGCCCCTCTACAGCTCACGCTGTCCCGAGTCACCAGCGTGCCCAGCGTGTCCAGAGCGCCGTCAGTGCCCGTAGATCCCTGCGTGCCCAGGGTCCCCACCTTTTCCCGAACACCATCCTGGCGTCCTGGAGGTGCCCGTCACCTCGTGGTCCCATCTTTGGGCAGTGGCCCTCATCACCGCGGTCGCGACGTAGACGGTCTGTCTCTGGGTGATCAGCTTCAGACAGAAATGCCGCCGAGGGCCGCTCGGCAAGAAAGGAGGTGGGTGTTCGTGTGGTTCGCGACGGCAGAGGCGCTGCGACACCAACGACACGTCGTGGGAGCGGTCGGGTTGTCGGAGACGGACTTACTTCATCGTCGCCACTTCAGGCGAGGACACGCACGAGGAGTCGTGCGCACAGACCAACCCCGACATCGCGGGAGTGAGGTGGTCAGCTACGCGGTGGCCACCCCCCCAGGATTGCCCCGCGGGATGATGCACCGCTTCCGGGCCGCGCCCCGAACGCAGCGCAGATCGCGGCTTGGGGGGCGGCGGCCGATCACTAGGCGAGAGCGCTGGGCACGACCGTCGGCGACCCGCCCTTTGAACGTGCTGTTGTTGATGCGGATGCTGGCGCGGGTGCGGCAGCGCCCGTGGTTCCTGCCGTCGACGCGGCGGGCAAGTTTTGGGTGGCGGTGGACTGCCGCCACGGGGTCTCGCTGGTCGGTCGTGGCCCTCGCGCTGGCGGCTCACGTCGTCAGGGACAGGGCTGTTCAGGAGCACGCCAGGGGGTCGATGGTGCTAGCGCTGATTTCCGCGGGCACGGAGGTGGAGTTCGCGGTCGCCGAGGCGGCCGCGGACGCGCGCTTCCTGCCACTGCGGGGGTCGTTGGTGGGCCGAGTCAAGTGGCTCTTCCGAGAGCCGTCGCGAGCGTGAAGGAGATCTGCATCACGCTCGCAGATTGTCCAGTCCCTGGGCCGAGGATGGCAGCCTGGTGCGTCACTTTCCTCAACAGACGCGGCGGAGGAGCAGTGTACCACCATAAGCCATAAGTGGTGGATCGTATCGTCTCCAGAGAGATTGGTGGAGAGTGGCGGAGCACGGTTTGATTGTCCAGGCGCTCGAGATTGGATTGTGCTGCGACTCTCTTGGCGCGCTGAACCTGGGGATCGTGGAGTTACTTTTGCGCCGCGTCCAGCTCATCAAGCACTGCTAGTCGGAGACGGGCCCGGCGGGGGCAGGCAGCTCAAGTGCCGTCGGGGCCGACGGCGACGCAACGACCGACAAGAACAATGCGGGCGGCGGCCGCGGCAAGGGGCGCGGCGGCCCGGCGCTGCTGCGCGCCAGCGTGCACGACGAGATCGCCATCTTCCTGGGCGTCCACAGGGAGTTCTTAGCCGTCGCCCGACCTCCTCGACCACGTGTCGAGGGGGGGGAGAGAGCGAGACGTAGATCCGAAAGGCCCGTGAGGAGCGGTGGCCGCGGCCTCAAGTGGCCTTGCGAGCGCGATGCCCCCTCGCCCTTCAGAGGGGGGGGCGCCCATGGGGGCATGCGGGCTTCCCAGCGTGATTGATTTCGAGTCTCGTGATGGTCGCCAGCGGGATCTGCATCCTCTGCCCATCTCCACGGGGAACAACGGCGAGATGAGTTGCTCCGACTACCCCAGTCGCCTTTTACAGAGTTGCCGAAGGTGTTGTGCGCAACGGTCTCGCATGACCCAGTGGTCCCATGAAGATGGCGTTTGCCTTGAATGAGATGTCGTTGGGGCCAGGCGGGCCACGTCAAGCTTCGAGCGCGCCGTTTCCGAAAATGGGCCAGCAGAAATGTCCGAGCTTTATTTTTCCTGTCGCCGAGGCGGCGGGCGAACCGCCCGCCGACTTGGGCGGCCCGGGAAACCTGCGGGAGCTCAGGGCCCGCCGCAGCTTCAATGGTGAATCATGCACCGCGGCCCCCGTGCGACGTTAGCCAGTCCGCCATGCCAGAGAGGGGTCGCAGGCCAGCGTCTCTGCATCCTCCGCGCGGGGCTGCTGGCGTTGATGAGCTTGCCAAGGGTTTCGTTGAAAGAGCTCGGCCACGTCAGGGGGCCGAGCGTCGCCCGGCGGCGACGGGGGCGAAGAGCCCCTTCCACGATCTCCTCGGCCGCGGGGTCGCCGAGCCCATCGGGCTTTGATTTCGAAGCTGAACGATTTTATCTGGGTCGCTTGAGTTCAGGCGTTCTCGTCGAGGGCGAGTTGGGCGTGTGCTTTGTTTTCAAGGAGGAGAGGCAGCGCTTGACAGTGGACGCGCGTTGGTCGAACTGTCACTTCTCAAATATTTGCTCATTTCAGTCTTTCCACGAGTCTGTCTTTCTCAGCGGTGGGAGCTCGTGGAAAGAGGGGTATTGCCAATGCGTCCTACGTTTTAGACTTGCCTGCAGAGTTGCGAAGGTTTTCTGGGTTGAAGTCAGAACGCGCTGTCGACCTCGGTGCGACTGCTGCGAGCAGGGCGGCCGGGCCGCCGCGGTGCTCCAGCGCTTCGCGCCCGAGCAGGTGGAGGGGGCCATGCGGGCTCGCGAGCCTCTTTCCGTGATCCTCCGCAGTGCTTCCCGAAGGTTGCGAGGGGTTGCCCAAGAGGCGTTGCTCTGGAGTTGTTCAGTGGATCGGCTGCTTTCTCGTGCTCCTGGAGGAGCGAGGCCGCTGCTTCTAGCATTCCGATCTTTTAGTGGGACTTCATTCGCGGAGATAAGTCGGATCTACTGAACAAGAAATGCCAAACAGTAGTTCGAGGATGGGTAATGTCAGGCATTATCGCAGCGCTATGGATTGGATATCCTTGATTTGGGTTGCCTTAAATTCCGGGTCCATGGCGAAGCTGGACACGCGGGCTGGCCCGGGCCTTTTTGCGACTGGCTGAAAAAATCATGGGGTCTCGTGGTTTGGGGCCGAATGGCCAACGAAAGTTGGACATCGGGGAACATCCTGATGAGGTTCGCTGTCTCGCTCATCCTGTTGTGTCGCCGTGTTTCGATCCCAGTGTCTGCCGAGAACCCGCACAATTCGATGGCTTGGAGGACACCCACGTCCTGAGTATAGCGAACCCGCCTGGCACCAACATCATGTATTCTGACTTGTGCATGTTCGAAAAAAACCGTGGAGGAAACGTCTCCGTAACTTGTTTGTCATGTTCAACATCGACATGTTGCCTCACTGTTTTTCGCAGCGTGGCGCGTGCGATCGCACCGGCAAGCCTCATGAAATCCTTGAAGGGCGTCACGATGAACAGTTTTTCACACAAGTAGTGGAGCCGTATCCCATGGCTTGTGTCGAATTTTGGTTGGCTCCTTCGTCTCCGTTCTGATCGCTCATAGGTTGGCTGGGCGAGAAAGGTTCGGCCTGGACCACTTGTTCTGAGTTGACGTTGCTGCAGCGTCTTGGGTAAGAGCCGTGACAATGTTTTCAGCATCCTTGTGCCTTTGTGCCGGCCTCCTGCCTTCAGAGTGGTTCCACCCAGCCACGTTCTCTACACATGTACGTGTTCTACATAGGTGCGGCTCAGCCACGTTCTCTACATTATATAGATAACATACCTACAGATGTGTACATATATATATGTATACATATAAATGTGTGCACCTATGCACAATCGAAGGGCTCTGCGGCGAACCACTGCCGCTGCCTTGGGCCGGAGTTTTGACAGGCAGTTGGAGGAGGAGGAGGAAGAGGAGGAGGTGTATGTGGAGGTGTAGGAGGTGGATATGGAGGTGGAGGGTGAGATTTAGTTTTTCGAATTTTCCGGCTGGCTGGCGGGTTGGGCAGAATGCCATTTGGGAAAGGTTTGGTATTAACCAAAACAGTTGAAACACTTGGCACGCCAAGCATCCCTGTGGCGTGGCAAGCCCAGGGGGCGGCGGATCGAAGACGCATACGGCGAATCACCGTGGGTCTCGGGATCGAAGGATGGAGACGGGGTCTCTTGAGGTCCTCTTGGGGCCTGTGGGCTTCCTGGGAGCTTTTGGAGGGCCGCTGAGGGGCCTCTTAGAGGCCTCTTAGGGGCCTCTGAGGGGTCTATCGGGGGCCTCCGAGGGGCCACTGGGGCCCTCTAGGAGACCTTGGCCTTCGGAGGCCGTCTTGGGTCCCTCTCGGGGCAGTCGTGGGTCCCTCTTTGGGTACCTTGGAGCCGTCTCGCAGGTCAAGTGGCCGTCTCCGGGGCCGCTTTGCGGACCTCCTGGGCCGTCTTGCGGGCCTCTTGGGCCGTCTTGGGGCGACTTTGGGGGCCTGTGGGGTCGCTTTGGAGCGTTGGGAGCCCAAAAAGGCGAGAATGATACAGCCATTTTGAAACCGAAGGGACCTCAATGATGTTGGCCTCCGGGAGTCCTCTTGGTAGTTACCCTTTTAGGGTGTCTTCGGGGCCTTTGGGGCCGTCTTGGAGGCATCTCGGGGTCATCTTGGGCTCTCTTGGGACCATCTCGGCAGTCTTGGAGGCGTCTTGGGACCTGGAGGCCATCTAAGCCGTCTTGGAGGTCATCTTGGCCATCTTGGAGCGATAGTTGTGCTTAGGGGCCTCTTGGGGGCCTCTTGGGGCCGCGGGGGCTTCAATTTCTACCTCTTGGGGGCCTCTTGGGGGCCTCCTGGGGCTTCTTGGGGGCCTGCTGGCGGTAATCGTGGGGTCGTGCTGGGCGGTGTCGACGCTGACGTGACGGGCGGCCACGCAGACGCCTCCTGGCGTGGCGCATGGGGAGGTGACTCAGTGGTCGGTCCCTCCTCCACGGGCCTTGCGTGTGACCCAACCTGGGGGTGGTGTGACACCCGGGAGCGGTGTCCAGGCGACCCCTTCTCCCTCGACGATACAAGAAGCCCTAAGCTTCATAACGTTGTGAAGACGCAGCCCAACTTTCGTCCCCGTCTCTGCGCCAGGCTTACTGCATGCCGGTGGGCCGTGGCCTCTGGGTGGGGCCTCTTAGCTCAGATCCGCTCCCAAAGGGTTGGTGGCCCCTTGATTGCCAATCACTCCTCTTCGTCCTCCCTCCTCCAGCCCGAGGTCGGCGGCGAGCTAGGGGGGGAGTGATGAGAAGGAGAAGGTTCTCTAACAAGGCGGCGTGGCTTCTCGGAAGCCCGCCGGCCTCCTGCCAAAAAGGTTTCCTCTGTCTTCGGGGAAAAGGCTCAGCAAACCTGCCAGATGGCCAGGAGACTTCCGAGCCTTCTGAGAAGGCCTGTCCCTTCTCACTTGCCGCCCCGGGCTCGCCGGCCCTCCTGTTCTCCTCCTCCTTCTCCTCCTCTTCCTCCTCCTCCTCCCCCTCCTCCTCCTCCTCCTCCTCCTCGTCCTCCTCCTCCTCCTCCTCCTCCTCCTCCTCCTCCTCTCCTCCTCCTCCTCCTCCTCCTCCTCCCCTCCTCCTCCTCCTCCTCCCCCTCTCCCCCCTTGTGCAGAGCCGCGGGGAGGCGGCTCGCGAGCCCGCCCCGAGGCCAGATGCCGCAGCTCGCGCTGAGGCGGGGCCTCGCCTGGGCCGGCCCGGGCGGCGGCGTGCGCGGGGGGACGCCAGGGAGCCACGTGGCGCAGGGAGGAGGGAGGAGGGAGGAGGAGATCGGGGGGGGGGAGGAGGAGACGGAGGGAGGAGGAGGAGGGAGGAGGGAGGAGTGAGGAGGGAGGAGGGAGGAGGAAAGGGAGGAAGGGGGGGAGATCGGGGAAGAGAGAGAGAGAGAGGAGGGAGGAGGAGACGGGATCGAAGAGGAGGCGGGATGGACGGGGTGGAGAGGAGGTCGAAGGCGAGAGAGGGGCGGGGCGTCTCAGAAGGCTCGGAAGTCCCCCGGCCTGCTGGGAGGTGTTCTCAGCATTCCCCGAAGGCACAGAAAGTTTCTCGGAAGGCGCGAAGTCTTCTGAGAAGTCCCGTCGCCTTCTGAGAAAGTATTCTCCTTCTCATTACCCCCCCACGCACGCCGCCGAGGGGGAGGATCCGGGAACAACAAGTGGCATGAATCTGAACTCTTTCGAAGGCCCGCGCAGATTTCTCGGATCGGCGCTAGAGCCCTCCGTCGCGCCACCCCTGGCGCGCTCCGCGCGCCAAGGAGCGGGGATGGAGGAGGAGCAGGGGATGGGCAGGGAGGGCAGAGAGGAGGAGACGAAGGACTCGGAACAGGGACAGCATCAAGAGGGGAAAACAGACACAGACCCACACACGCACACACATGCTGATCTCAGTGAGAATCGAATGAACAAGTCTTTGGTCTTTGGAACGGAGTGGAATACGGACGTCTGGGACATGTGGAACACACACACACACACACCACATCGGGCGTCCTGGAATGTGTGTCGATTCGTTGGTGCCTCCCTGGGCCCTTCCATACACGAGGAGGGGCGCGCGCCTCGAGCCCGGGGAGGCTGGGCAGAGTCAGGAGGGGAAAACACACACAGACACAGACACAATGAATCGACGATTCCCAAGAAAAACGGGAAGGTATGGGAGGGGGGAGGGGGAAGACGAAAATTCGGAAACTGTGCAAAGACATTGGCACTTCTGGGATCTGTGTGCTGTGTAACTTGTGTGCCCCTGGGCCCCTTCACAGAGGCCTGTGCCTAAAGTGGCCGCAGGCAGCCGCCCGCGCCCCCGCCGCCCTGGCCAGGGGGGCACCATGCGGGTGCCCTCGGGGGCTGCCCCAGGGACGCCCAGGGAGGCGCTCTTGCGGTCACACCTCGAGCAGGAGATCGACTGCAGAGCAGATGCACCCCAGGGATGTGCTTTTTTGCCGTCGAGGCTTCCACACAATACCGCAGAGCGCTCCGCAGATCTCCGGAGCACTCTATGCCGTGAGGGGGGCACGATGTGGGTGCCCTTCGGGGCTGCCCAGGGCGGCGCCCCTGCGGCCCCTTGTTTTCGAGTGGGAGGTCGACTGCAGGCGCGCTCGAGAGGGGGTCGAGGCTCCAAGGAACGCAGCATCAGAGCGGTGGACGCCACTGCAGGATGGGAGAGCTCCGCGGGCACGCCGTGCACTGGCACGGGAGCCCGTGGGAAGGACCCGGCCCGCAGCGCGGCCCGGGTCGGGGTGGGTTGGCACGACGCCCTCTCTCTTGCAGTGCTGCACCGGGCTGCGAGAGCACGCGTGGAGCTGAGGCTCCGCCGCTCGCCCCGCTTCGGGCGGCCTCCGGGGCCGGCACGCTCGTGAGGGAGTGGGGGAGTGACAGGGTCACCCCCAGGACTGTTTTTTCCCTCGCATCTTCAACATGATACCGTATACTGCTGCGTAGGTCCACGGAGAATCGTGTGCTCTGGTCGACACAGGCGATGGAAAGATCTCATCAGCGGTAAGCCAATTCTGTGGCCGATCTCCAACTCGAACCTTCGGACGCCTCAGGAGAGAGGCGTCTGCCCAAAGCAGACTGGAATGCGGGGAACTCGCCAGAGCGTTTCCCGATCTATAAGGGCAGCCCTGCAGGATCTAAGGACGTGGGGCCTCAGTACCCTCAGGATAGGGATATCTGCGAATCGTCGAGGATCATCTATTAGGTGCGCTGCCCCCAGAAGGAGCCCGTCCATGCCAATAGGGGAGCCTCAGGATGGAAGCATCCCATCACCGTCGGGCTGCCCAGGGAATCGCTCCGGTAGGTGCCTTCCAGCTGCGCTGGGAGGCGTGCTCGTCGGTGCCGCCGGGCTGCCCAGGGAAGCGTACCTGCTGGCGTATTCGGGCTGCGCAGGGCAGTTCCCTGGCAGGTGGTTGGTGCCTTCTGGCTGCGCCGGGAGTGCTTGCAGGTACTGTCGGGCTGCCCAGGGGAGCGTACCTTGGCATCGCTCGGGCGTGTGCATTTTTGCTCGGCGAGGGCCATCGAGGAGCATCTTCTTGGGCCATCCGTGGCAGAAGAACGCACGCACGGGTCCGAACAGTGCACGAGGGGTGGACGCCCGAGCGCTGGCAAGGTACTCGCAGGTACCCTCTGGCTGCCGAGACAAGCGTCCCGGCGGTGCCTTTGGTTACCACCCCAACATAGTATGGGAACGATGCTTCGACTATGTATGCCTAATTATGTTTGCATGTATTTTGTCTGTTTTCGTGCTGTCCTCCAAAAGCCACCTACATGGGGGACATGCCCGACCTGACTGTAGCTCTTGCAGGGTCACTCTTTCACCACCCTCCAAACCACCCCAACCCAACCCGAAGGCTCAGAGTTACCCTCGATTTCCAGTGGGGGGGGTCGGGAAACATCGGAAAAACACGGGTGGAGCCCTTACCCCCCCCCCAACCCGACATTCGGGTCTTCGGGTCGGGTTGGGGTGGTCTGGTAGGTAGTCATTTGGTGTGCCCGCTGGTCAGGAGAGGAAAAAACACACAGACACAATTAATCGTCGATTCCCAGGAAAATATGGGAAAATATGGGAAGTGGGCGGGAAGACAAAAACCCAGAAAATGTGAGAAGATATGGGGAATCTGTTTATTTATGTGTATTTATTTGTGTGTCCCAGGGCCCCTTCAGCCGGGGCGTCCTGGCGGGTACTTGCGGGCTCGCCCCGGGGAGCGTGATGGCGGGCACCCGGGGCCCAGGGCCGGCCTCTGGCCACGGGGTCGGCGAGGGGCGGCGGGTTGAGGGGGCGCCCTCCGCCTGAGCGTATAAAACGACACGAAGATCGGGCCAACATCGGATCGGGATAACTCGAAGTCTCTGAGAATCGGCGGGTTGGGAGGATGTATTGGGCGCCGCGGCCGCTCCAGAGCGTTCCGGAACGCTCTGAGAGCGCTCCGGAACGCTCTGGAGCGATTTGTCCCGATCCTAGCCCTGTTTTAGCGTAGGGTCGACCAACCCAACAGGCGACACCACCCCACCCAGCGGCCCTCCATGCTGCGCTACGGCCCACTGGGCGCCGTAGCGTCTACCACGCACAAGCCCACGCCAGATTTCCCGGTATGCGCCAAGCCCCCTGGGGCCGCAGGTGGAGTGGTGTCATGTGCTTTCTGGTCCATAGGGGTCTCTTGAGACCCCATTTGGCGGCGGGCACGGGGGGAAGTGAGAAGGGGCGGGCCTTCTCAGGAGGCTCGGACGTCCCCCAGCCTTCTGAAAAGTTTCCCCTGCTTTCCCCGCAGACCCAGAAAACAAACCTCTCAGAAGGCCCGCGGGCTTCTGAGAAGTCCCGCCACCTTCCGAGAGGACCTCTCCTTCTCACTTCTCCCCCTCGCTCGCAGCCGGCTCTAATTATCCCGCGCGCCGAACAAGAATTCAGCGTGCAGGAAACGGCTCATCGGATGGAGAGGTGGGTCCCCGGGAGTGGGTAAATGGCTCGGGGGGCAAGCTCGAGGAGGAGGAGGAGGAAGAGGAGGAGGAGGAGGAGGAGGAGGAGGAGGAGGAGGAGGAGGAAGAGGAGGAGGAGGAGGAGGAGGAGGAGGAGGAGGAGGAGGAGCGGAAGCGAGGTTCGAGGGAGGAGGAGGAGGAGGAGGAGGAGGAGGAGGAGGAAGAGGAGGAGGAGGAGGAGGAGGAGGAGGAGGAGGAGGAGGAGCGGACGCGAGGTTCGAGGACCTCGGATCGAGGCGTCGGACGACCGGGGGCCCGTTCCGAGCCTCTGGTGGCCTCTGGGCCTCCGGAGGTCTCCGGGTGGACCTCTGGAGGCGCCCTCCAAGGAGTGAGGCAGAGCGATAGCTCTATCGGGGGCGGAAAAGAGGGGGGTGACGACTAGGGGGGGGTGGATAGTTTTTTGTTCCTCTAATTTTGGGGTTCTGGGTGGGGCTTCGGTTGGTTGGGCCGCGGCGCAGATCTAGCTCGGGGGACATACGTTCGTGGCCAAGAAGCTCGCCGTGGCTGGAAGCGCCCCGTCGTTCCGGCTGCGGCCTTCCCTGGTGGCAGCACGGTGGTTGTGCGTGGGCGTTGGTTGCCCAGGAGGCGGGGATCGGGGGCGGAAAAGAGGGGGGTGATGACTAGGGGGGGTGGATATCATGGCGGGGGCCATGGTATTTCCCCAGATTTCACGGCGCCTCTTGTTATTTCATGACGTCCCTGGCCCCCCCGCTGGGCCGCGCACATGCCGCCGGTCATGATTTGCACCCCCCCTCTCTTGGACACCCCCCTCTTGGCCGCTCCCGACTCTAAGAAACAATCACGCAAACACACACGTTTGGCGCTCCGCGCGGATTTCTTGGGAGGTCCAGCGCAGATCCGAGAACTCCGCGCGGAACGTCGCAAGTTTATGTTTCTGCAGTTGTTTCTTCGTGTAGCAATGTTTCGGAGGGGGCGGCGGGGGACAGTCGCGTTGATATCTCTCGTGCTTTGCGCATGCCTCCTGACTTGCTGTTGATTATGCTTGCGTTCTCGCTCTCGCCCTGCTGCGTCCCACACCTCCTACTTTCTTCTGGCGCCCTGCTGCAGCATCTGGGTCGCTGCTCGGCGGCGTGGATTGTGATCTCGGTGTTCTCCGAGGCATCTGTAAAGTCATTGCTGCAGTCCCTTCTCAATTGTCAATAACGACGGCGCAGTCTATCGCTGTCTGTCTGTCTGCGGGACCCCTCTGGGTCGT